CATCCTTGCTGATCTTTCAGTCCATCCACAGAAGTTGGTACCATTTCTGTCCTGCTTAGAGGAGGTCTTATAAAACGTTTCTAAACCAGATCCTTCTCCAGCAGACACTGCTTGTTCATGGCATCTGCATGGCACGTGATTCATATTGACCTGGGCCAGCATCACAGGTGCCACGTGCATTTTTATGAGCCTGCTGGTTACCGAAGCCCTGTCTGCTGGTGTCAGATGGAGAAGCTCCAGGAAAATCTGAAGCTCCCAGGAAGTTACCAGCAAAACCTCCATGCGGGACCTACAGAGGTCTCTTAAGCTGTCCAGGGAAGCCTATGTGCTTTTTCCTGCCTCAGGTGGCCAGGCAGCAGGTCTGACTGGCTTAAGAGACCAAAAAGGGATAACACAGCAGCTCCAACCAAGTTCAACCTGCATGCAAACCTGGCACGGCCAAAAAAAGCTTCTAGACACCAGCATGAAGCCTGGCCAGCTCAAATGCCAGTGAAGTTTCCCTGGTAACTCAAGTAGGTGTTGCACGCTCTTCAGGACAGCGTAGCCCTCCCCATCTGGAGAGGGAGGTGTGTGGATCCTGCCACCAACCCCCAGAAGAAACCATCTGAAGACCCGTCACTTCTACAGGGTCTTCTGAGATAATTTCCAAACCAGCAAAAGCCATATCAAGAGCAGCAGGAGGAAATACCAGACGATGCAGACGTGCCAGGGAGGACCAGAGGACTGTTCAGAAGAAGCATCGTCCATCTCATTTCTTCCCAGTCTTTCCCCAAATGTTTGAAATTAAAATAAAAAAAGGCAAGAAACTCACCATCAGCAACAAAAAGCCAAACCCAGTTTGGTTCGTCTCCAGTCCCAGAAGCACCACCACGCATCAGGCTGTGTGGGAGACGTAAAGCAGGGAGGGAGAGCTAGTAGAAGGACATCAAATTGTGGGAAGCAGCTAATTCCTCCTACCTGTCACAACAATCGGTCTATCTCCTGCCCCAAAGACTTGAATATCTGCTCTAAAGTCAAGGAGCTAAGAGGAGGCAGAGCCTCGGATGGGCTTTTTGGCACACGCTGCGTTTCTTGTAAGAACCATCTCTAGCAGTACATGGGATTTTTACTTTTAACCTATGACACCGCCCGGGCAGGCATACATCCCAGGTCACTCGCCAGCATCTGCCACCCTGCCAGACTGGTTATAACCACGTACTTCGGCTCCACGTGAACTCTATTAACCCTTTAGCCTAGAAGAAAGGATAAGTGCCCAGACTTGATAGAAATGCTTGAAAAGAGGAACTCTTTATCTATATGGCACCAATTAAAGCTGCCTGGAGACAAGGCAGTGGGCTCAGGCTGCTGAAGGAGAGACGTCGAGGCAGCAGAGGACAGGGATGCTTGCCAGGCGATGCCACGCTCTACCGCTGCAGGAAAGGAGCCTGCATGAAGCAGAAAGCAGACAACAGCAAAACTGAATGGGAAAGCACAGCACAAGGGCTTTCACCATCTCCCCTGAAAACGCCCGATGTAATACACCACGAGCAGGCTGCTGTGACTTGCAGATTACACGGGTCTTCATCAGGCAGGGCTCGAACCGAGGTCGACCTTGATGAATCGGTGGGATGATCTGAAGTCAAACAAGATGAACTTCAGGGCAGACACGGGCAAAGCCAGAGGAGGGAGTTGGAAATCACAGGCGCAGTGGCCAAATGGGAGTAATTGGTGTGGCAGAATTGGTGTCCGAGGAGGGGCAAGGCTGCCATCAAACACGAATCCATTCAACGATGACTGCTTTTCCAAAGCAGGTCTCACACTGAGAAGCACATGCTGAGCACATCCAGTGGGAACCACTCCTGCTCGGAGGTAGGGGTCCCAGCTGGAAAGCCTGGCACAGGGATCTCCTCCTGGGGACCAGCATCCCCACCTGGAGAGGGCCTTGGGAGAGCCCCAAGGGACTGGGCATGGGGCAAAAGCTAAGGGAGCCAAGTTTACTCAGTCTGGGGCGGAGGCGAGAAGATGTGACAGCAGTCTCTAAGTATAGAAAGATGCATCAGCTTCCTCCCTTCCACATGCTCTGCTTTTGCCAGGGTACATCACCCATTTCATTAAGCCCAAGGCACTGGAGATGAAACACATCCCTGTCTGTACATTCTGACCCCCCTCCTTGCCGTGCCACACACACACACCAGTCCATGCCTCCCCCAGCTGCAGGAGTCACCCCGGCCCTCAAGCACCGCTCCCCAGCATTTAAGCAACTGCTGTTGTAAGCAGGCTATGAAAGCAATCCCTGGCAGCCTTTCAGGCTTTATTTGCACTGCAGCCTGCAGTTCGTGTCCCGTTGGCAGGCAGGGGAGTGTGGTGACTCACAGGCACACAGTGACTACTCCCCCAGCCAGGCTCTGCACCCTCATTTTCCCCTTAGTCCAGACACGCGCTGGGTGCCGCAGAGTCTGGCCATATCAGTAAGGAGGGCTGATCGCTGCCCTTTTTTGAATGTCGATGGAGAAAGCAAAGCAGGTTAATGTTATGCCAGCATCACCTTGGACAGAAGGACCTGCCGCATCCCCAAAACATCTTGCCATCGCTGCATTAGGCTGCCTTCTTTCCCAGCTACCCACCCTGCATCTCCTAGACAGGCAGGGACTGAATCCTATTTCCCAGGTTTGCACCCCAAATAGCAGAAAACGGAGGAAGAGACACTCAGCAAGGCTTGCTCTCAGTTCAACCTTGCCTTTGAGGAGCACAATACCATCCAAAGCACATCCTATGCTGTGTATGCAGCAATCACCCCTCTGGTGCAAAGGCAGCCAGCACAAGGTATTTTCCCTCCGTGGCAAAGTGCCTCTTTGTGCCCCCCATCGTGTCCTTTGGGGTCCTGCTCCCAGGAAGGACCTCCTGGGTCACAGCCTTTCTGACCTGGCCACAGTCAGCCAGTACTGGCACAGGCCCAGCAGAGCCTTCAGCAGCCGGCAACTCCAAACATGTGCCGGAGGTGCTCGAGGAACAGCTAACACCAGAAAAGAGGTCAGGTCAGCACCTGGGGCCAAACGCTTAGCATCTCCAGGGCAAGGACGAGGGTCCCCCACACTCACAGCCACACTGGGTGGTCTGCCAGCCACCCTTGAGTCTTTTACAGAGGCAACATGCTGTTGTGATGCTCCAACACTGCCCCAAGGATGGGAGTCAGAGGAGAAGGAGGGAGCTGCACTGGTTCCCACCTGAGAAACCAGATCTGCTGGAGAGATCTCACCATCGCAGCTCCATGTGTGAGCTACAGCTTCAGGAGTAGGAGCTGAATCACCCGCAACTTCTGGGCCTGGGAACGGCTCCTCGGCAGGGTATGGCATGAGCACATCAGCACAAAACTTCCCTGGGCTACGGCTGGGGTGAGAGGATGGCCAGCAGGTCGGTGCACCCAGGGTAGCTCCGTTGGCCGCTTCTTTGCAGTATCTTCCTTGCTCATAAAGGCAGCACCACATCAGGTGATGTGTAATGTGTACAAGGGATCCCTGCTCCTCAAACCCAAGATCTGCAGAAAAAACCTGGAGCTCTGGAACAAGCGTTTTCACCACCAGTAACTATCTCAGATATATCAACGACTGCTGAAAATCCAGAGGACAATTGCTCCCGTGACCTGCGAGCAGGAGGAAGGAGCTGCATGCACATGGCGGAAGAAACACACCCAGAAGTCCCTGGTGCCAAAAGTGAAGCAAAATAGCAGCAATGTCCAGCCACAATCGCTCTCCCGCTGCGGTTGCTGCCCTGTACCGGGGTCTCCACAGCAGCAGGGCTTTAAAGAGGCAAACGCAAGGAGATTGGTTTTCCAGGCATATCAGCTCATCCATCCTGCAAAAACGAACTGGGGTCTCTGGGTATGAGGCATCACCCTCAATCTCATAGAAACGCTCATTAGAGAAGTATAATAGGCCCACCACAGCTGAGCCCAGCAGGGCCAGGGTGGCAAGCACAGCAGTAAACCACCAATGTAGGAGACACCCCAACCCCTAAAAGGAAGAAAGGGGAGAAAAATCATCTAACGAGATGCCAAACGGAACAAGGGCCTTAGGAGCAGCCTTGTTTAACCTGCCAACCTCAATGAGAAGAGCAGCCCTGTGCAACACCTCCTATCCCCATCTGCCCAGCAGAGACAGCAGCCCACAGATCCCAGGCATTTTCGGTTTAATTTAATTATAAACCACAGTTCCAGGTAGATGAGGGAAATGTTGCTGTTCAGCAAGACACATTGTTTTACCTATTGGTCCCTTCTTCACCCCAGGCTGGTGGGAGTGGGACACAGGAGGGTTTTTGGACACAAAAGAGGGGTAGTATGAGCTGCTAGTGGGAAGCAGATGGAGAAACTTTGCAGGAAGCGCCAGGGGCTGGCCTGGAACCCAAGCTGCTCCCCTTCATCCATGATGCTGTTTCTCTCCCAGACAACCCCTCTGAAAGCGACGGGGCCAGGGTCTTCTGCTCCCAACACCCCTACAACCTCTCCTGAATCACTCGCCTGGCTGTCCTCCACCCTTGTGACTCAGTTTCCAAGACCAAACGAGGTGGTTTCGCTTTCCCAAGGACGTTGCTTTTCCGAGACACCAAGCAGCCATAACTGACGGAAGAGGATTAGACTTGGGTGTGCAGCATTCAAAAATGAAGGCGAATCCTTCCACAGGGGACACGTATAAAATGCGTGTCACAGCAGCAAAAGAAGACCCAAGGGGTAGCTGTCCCATGACCACAGCACCTCCCAGCAACCATTGCCAGCTCCTCCACATTTCTAGAGACATGGTAGTTTCCTCCTCAGTTTTCCAGGGCATTTTCAGGCCTGTAGCTCAGCTAAAGGTCCAACACTGACACATTAACATAGAAGGGTCTGATACCACAACTCTTCATCATCCTACCTTCAGGAGACACAGCTTTCCATCCCAAAGCAAACAAGGCTTGAGGGTGGGATGTGAGCTGCGCAGCAGGGGAACGACCCCAGGGCCTTTTTCATCCCTCACAACATGGACACTCACCCATCAAGTAGCTCTTCGCCTTCAGGTACCCAACAGCGAGTCGTAAGATGGACAGTTTATCAAGCCTGGCGCGCACATCTTCAGGGAAGGGCAGCAAACCGGTCAGCTTGTTCAGCTCCTGGTTGAGCCGGTCTCGATGCCGCTTGGAGGGATTGGACTTCACACCCTCAGGGGGTGCTGGTTTGGGGCTGGAAGAGGCAAAGGAGAGTTTAATCAAACTAGGCCTGTCTGACAGGCTCTTTCCAAACCTAGTGTTGACTTTAGTGCAGCTACAGCAACAGTAAAACATCAGGTGGCCAAGGCAAGGCCACGCGGCAGCAAGAACAAGCTCCAGCAAGCCCACAAGGCAACGGCTGGAGGAGACACAGGCATCCCAGTTGGCCACCTTGTGCAGCCCCAGGTCTGATGTTCTCCAGCTGGAGCATGGGGTGATCCTCAGATGGGCACCTTAACGTGCAGCCTGGCTGAGATAGCTCAGCTGGATACCGCAGCCTTGCTCCTGTCACTGAGCCCTGGCAGGGAAAGGGACATCAAGGGCAGAGACCTACAAGCCATCAGAGCATCTCTTGGAGGTCTAACTAGACTTTTCCATCCACACCCTGCTCTGTTCGCCCTTTCTCCTCTTCTTCCTCATCTCATACTCTTCCCATGCAGCAGATCTCTCCCTGGCCACGCTCCACATGCTCACACCAGGTCCTCACTACGGAAAGCACTACCTTGAGTTGCTCAGAAGATTGACATCAGCTGTTCTGCCTGCCCAGGACTGAGCAGCTCTTGGCCAGGCCTTGGCAATAAGCACGCTAACAAATAGCAACAATGCAAAGCAGGAAGGTCCAAAAAAGATTTTTTATTTGAATTTATTTCAATTAGCTTCTTTTAAGTTTCCTCCCACTGCTCAGAGCCTGAACCCACTGCTTTAATTACGAATACTACAAAGAGGAGCACATGTGAAAGTTAATGACAGAACTTGGACAAAGAGATACTACATAGGGTGATTTAGGGCATAGCACTTAAAAAACAGCCTCTTTTTTAAAAAAAAACAAACAAAACAAAACAAATAGATTTTTTAAAAAAATTCTTTCTCTTCCAATATTCTGATTTCTGATCCTTTCAGATGGGCATTTCCAACCTAAAACAACATCTGATGCCAACCTCAGGCTCCGGGACCAACCCTCAGTCTACAGAAGGAGTACGGTTCACAAGAGCAACTCTTGTCTGTCTTCAGCTGACATGGGGACCCATCTCTGTCAGCTGCAGTTATTTCACACATTACAACTGAAGTCCCAGCCACAGCAGTAAGAGGTTAATTAATAACTTTAGTGAGTCTTGGATGTCACCTTGTCTCCTTTGGTTTTTAATGCCAATTTGAATTTTCTAGCTTGAAGAAAAACCCTTCAGACCCAACCCCCACTCTGTATTTGGTTCAACTGCATCCCCTAACATGCAACTCATATTGGTTTGATGTAATTTGTTTAACCACAAACTCCCTCTCTGCAGGCATCCTTGCTTCATAAAGTAGCTTTGGATAACAGGATCTGCCAGGATTTAGCAGCAATTTAAGCTCTCCCCTCTATTACCGCTCTCGAATCTCATCTGGCAGGACTGCTCGCACGTATGACAAGAGAGGAAATGAGTATTAAATGAAATGTAGTGAGGTGCCTGTTGAATTTTCATTGCAGAGAGCTACCAAGAGGTCTTCTAAGCACGAATGGAAAATCATAGCATTTCCCCAGAAAAGCTCAATCACGCTGTTTTGTAACATAAGCATCAGCAGGGATATACCCTGCTTCTCAGAGAGGCTTAGTGCAACTCATTACCGAACCTGTCCGTACAAGCTGGGCAAAACAGACTGGCACCAGTGCTTTTATGTACTCCATTAGCCAGTGGTTAAACTCTTTTGAAATCACACTTATCAGGAAGGAAAAATGAAATAGTTTTCCTTTGACTCTGTTTCTGATTAAAAAAAAAAAACAAACAAAGAGGTAAAGAAAATTATTCTGAGTGTCCTCAGATATCCTTTAAAGAAAAGTCCTCTGCCTACTCACTATCCAAAATCTAGCCCACAAACCGCCAGAAAGAAGAGAAAGTGAGATTGGAGATGAGGGAGGAGTGCTGCTCTGTATGGGAGGGGTAAAATGCAGAGGTGCAATGGGGTCTCTTGGATAGTCCGGCCAAGCACTGAAAATGCTCTGGCTGAGATATACGGGGTGACAGAGCCAGCAGCAAAGCACCACAAGGCTAAAGGAAGGACATCCCAACGGTACTTCACGAGTGTTTCACTGCCACCCTTGAGAGGGGGGATGACGAAGAGGAAAATGGCTCTGGTGAGGCTAAAGAAGGACATCCCAACATCTCTGTTCAGGGTACTTCACGAGTGTTTCACTGCCACCCTTGAGAGGGGGGATGACGAAGAGGAAAATGGCTCTGGTGATGCCGGGCAGCTCTTTTGGCAGCCCATTTCCATGGGCAAACACCTGCACCCAGGAACTCCCACAGCCAGAGGTTTTTCTTTATGGATGCCACAGCAAAACAGCTTCTGCAGGTGTTCATCGCTGACAAATCTCTTCACTCTCTGCCAGGCAGTCGTGAAGTTCCCAAAAGCTCCATGCAAGCCAGCAGGCAGAGCCGGGAGAACCGCCAGCTCCCATCACACACACTTACCAAGGGAACGGCGTTGACTTGAGCACAACCAGGTTATTAGCCACTAGAGAATCTGCACGGGTGAGCACCACGGGAAACGACATTTCCCCTCGCTCACAGAAACAGTGAAGCTTGGTCTAGATATTTAAAATCTGTTTAAATTCCCTGCCCTTAGGGCCATCTCCATCCCCACTGCCCAGCTGGGCAGGGCAAAGCACTGGCAGTCTCTGCCGGTCCTGGGCACAGTGCAAGGCCGTCCCAGGATCTACCCGAGCACAACACACCAAGCCCCGGCATTCAGCAAAGCAGCTCAACACCTACGCAACAAGCAAGGAAAAGGCATTTTAAAGAAGTCTGAGTCCCCATTCTGTTTGCAGGAGCTCTAATGTGGCACGGTCTTGTGAAATGGATATGGTGCAAAGCTCAGCGCGGCCGTGCCATGGAGTTTACGGTGAAGCTGCTGAGAAGAGCTGCTGACCTCTGTGCAGATGGGCTGGAACAGAGCCGCAGGGAAAGCTCTGCTCCCAGCGGGGCAAAGGCTGTGCCGCTGCTGCAGGCTTGTTTTTCCCCAGGTGCCCTTTGAACCAGGAACCCAGCAGGAAGTTTATCATTTTTGCAAGCTGGCAAGTACCAAGTGATACTAACTATTAACAGCAGCTGAGGTTGCCTGAGCTGATATATTGCCTCCTCACTTTTATTCATTTTTTTAAAATAAGTAAAAAGCCTTCAGCACACTGCAAAGGGACCAGAGGTCTCCCTAACCCCATCCTTCCCTTCCGGCCACACATCCCGCCGTCCTCCGCCCTGCTCTCCCTGGCCTCTTCCAGCAGGACCCTGTGGCAAGACCTGCCCAGTCACAGAGGAAAGTAATCTCTT